ATATATATATGTATATATATATATATATATATATATATATATATATATGGCATGAAGACTACAATGTTGTTGTGTACTCAGTGCGGATCAGACCATGCCAAACAAATTAACAAAAATCCCGGTAACAGCTAAAGAATGTGGTTAGATTAGATAATTTATCTTGCAATGATAACGAATTCCAAAACCTTTTTAGTACTTCTCAATGTGTCCTTAACGAACATGGCCCGGTATTTCACGCCCATAGGCTCATTCTCATGATGTTGTTTGCATAAAATACGCAACAACATGTATCACATAAACGCGGACGGACCCACTACAACCGCAACGCTCCCCTTACGTTCGAAAGATGGTGTAATATGTTCCTGTTCCAAAACATTTCTGGTGTAACTACTCCATTGGTTTCCTTCCGTCCTCACTCCCACAAAAAGCTGAGGGCACATCTTGCCTCATAACATTCAATCACGATAACCTGATGGACTGCCATTAGGGTTGACTTACCAAGAACTTTCATGTTGTCGTAAAGTGGAGTGAAGTGGAGGATAAGGTCTGTGAATGAGGAAAAGATTGGAGGATGACGGGCTGCGTCAAACAGTGAGAGGGGGTCACATATGAGGTGAATAGTTACTTTTGGGAAATACTAAATCCTCCTATTCGCAATGCTATGTAGGAGTGTCAACCTAGTATTTAACGAGACCAACTGCTGCTGGTGATACAAAATCCACCAGAAAAAAAACCCGAATGAAACAGTTTGCCATAAAAGCAGTTAGAACCAACTATATTTCAGATGGAATTATATGGAACTAAAACTCCTAACGTACGTCAGTAACGGTTCTATAGGTTACAATGAGCGTCTCCCGATCCGCCTTATTACGCGGACCTACGAGGGTTGGGAATCGAACTTATGACCTATGATCCGATCCATTCAATTACCAAACTATAAACGCTAAATAAATACGAAGTAACAGCTGTAGTATTGGGATTAGAGATACCGAAATGTCTAGCGCTCATGAGAAAAGTTTTTGTTTGACTAAATCGGTACATTCATGTTTGCGACCGTTACACTGTCAGTGGAATGAAATCGCTTTTTGGGCAAATCGCTACAGGGAAACACCTGAATAATTATCGCACACCGCTACTCACAAGTAACTGCAAGTTAAATGCGAATAATATTGAAAATTCCGTTTATGAAACAATTCCCAACTTACGTGATACAACTATGTAGTCGAATCTATTTGGACAAAATAACGATTTATATACTTATTGAAAAAGATGATCCACTTTTGACGATAGGGGTAATATCGATTGTTGAAACGTGCAATCATAAGCATGCCCGTATGATTTTCAACAGGACGTTTGAAAAAAAATAAACAAGTGACGAGTAGTGCGTTTTTTCTCGTGTTCACCCTCATCCGATGTGGGAGACGAGCGGATTCGATAGGACTTTGACCAAATTTCTTTCTCTAGTTTCGTCCAAAAAAGACGTGGCAAGCTTTTGCTGATTTCAACCGCCCAATTCAAAACTTACTCCCGGTCCATCCTGACCAGGAATATAACTTTTCGGTGAGAGCAAGGGGGATACGTAACCAAATAAACAAATCAGCACCAAAGTTGGTTGACAACGATGAAACACTGAACAGCTATGGCGAACGCAGTTTGACCTGTATAAAAAAATGAATTAAATAGTTGAGAAGGACATAGCAGAATGTTTCCGATCTTGGTAATTATTGATACTGCTTACATTAGACCAGCGGGATGTTTAACGGTTGCAATGAAATTCAGAGTACAAACCCAGAAAGGAATAACTTTAAGCTGTTGTATACCATTATATGATGAATTTCGTTGTGTTCATAGCAACTGAAGCATGAGCTGAAAAGCAATGAAGCAGGTTCGACCATGGTCGGTTTCATCAGCAGTGCGAATACACTGACCCATCAGGGGTTCGAACTGGGGACCTCACAGGTAGGAAGAACTCATTTGAATATTAGGCAACTGCTCGGACCATTTCTTATTTTGTCTACACAAGATATAGCCGAACCCACCGTTGTAAGCGTGTTGCGGGTACCATACTTTGCTTATCTCAGTCCTGACCTCCAGGGTCATGACTCAGTTGGCAACATCACGAAGCTGACTGTTTGGTTCATGGTTTTGTATACCGCGCAATGACGCCGTTTGACATTCGCAACGAATATAATAAGGTCAGATAATAGGGCCAGAAGTTTGTAAGTTTAGTTACTCATGCATACCATATCCGCCCGTGGCGGCGATATTTAAATGGCTGAGGTGATCAAATTAGCGACCTGAATGTCTTAAGTTCGAGCCGTGCTATCTCACTCATCTCAATTTTATGTATTTTCCTAGACAGCCTTTGTACGGTTGCGGCCACCTTCCTGAAAGCCGACTTTATTTTCATACTCAATAAAATGAAAAAGCCAGTAAAACAATTTATTCAGCATTGAATATAATGTGGAATGATTGTACCTCGGGATGCGGATGTTGGTGTTAATGTGTTCTCCGAGCTTGAAGTGCATCTACCTGCCCTTGAGCAGTGCACACGCTCTCAATGTTGAAACTTAAGCCACGGTCCTGAAAAAATACTTCTCTAATGTTCAAAATGAAAACTGACTGGAATGTAATGCAAGCGCAGTAATGGTATACAGCTGAAACGGTCTGAACACCTGACCGTTGACCAGCCGTCGGTTGAATGCTTGGTTTTGGTGCGTGAATTCTCTGTTTTGACCCCCCTCCCGAGTCTCATGTGATCACTGGACTTGAACTGCCTCTAGAAAATCTCTGTTCAGATTATCAACTATTTCTTCTCAGTATAGGGTTCAGAAAGGTCAGCCATATTCCGGTTGCAGTTTACATACAAGATTGGACAAAAAAGATCTTATAGCGATTCGCTTTAATTTTAAGGCCGTTATTTAAGACCATCGTTTATACCGGAATCCGACTACTCGGTAATATGTGCTACAGTTGGCTTTGTTTATTGCACTTCATTGAAATAGAGGCGAGTAATGAAAAATTTGATTGCTGCTGTCCAGTGTGTAGTTCACGGTTCACAGGTTGGATGCAAACAGTGGTGAATATTTGGGATTAGAAACTCAGATAAATATGTTTCTTCATGGCGAAATTGAATAAACTTTAGCTGTTTTCGCACGTCGTAACGAAAAACCTAAACAACAGACTCAAATAACAACGAAAATGTTTACCTCATTGATTGAAGAACACATTTTGTTTTTCTACCCCATCATACTTGGGTTTATTCCTATGCGTTACACTATTCCTTAACATGATTTGCTTGAAACATAGTATAAAACAACATACTCTCAACTTCAAGTGATTCCGCTGTAACCGTCCAGTGAATCCACCGTAACCTTAAGTGAACTCAACCAATCGTATCCTGCTTAGACTTGCACAAGTTGATTCCGCCATCTTGGGTCACCCACTGGATCGGGTTTGTCAAAACCCCTTCCGGTCAGGGTGATCTGATTTTCCCATTGACAAACAATAGTTCCTTTTTGAGTATGTTATCGAGCGAGGATGCAATTTTCGTTGGAGTGGAGTTTTGGTGGACCGGTATACGATAAACTGTAATCCGCGCGCACTTAATCGAAAAAGAAGCACATAAACACTGTCTAATGCACACACATTCCTAATTTCTGGTGAGTTGCCTCACTTCTCAGTGCTCGGCTTGTTAACGAAGTCAAATAGTGTTCACGGAGTATACGCGTGGAACTTTGTGTCCAACAGTAGCATTTGTTGTATCCCAATAGAGAACGTTTTGGGTTCCATTGTCTAACGAACGGCAATGCAGGGTTGGACAACGTGTCAATCATGGGTTTCGGAAGATCCTACTTCGCATTGTAACATTTTTAAACTCATACAATGATGTGTCTGCTCATCAAATTGATCCGAAATTGATATTTCGAAATATGTATGCTTTGTTCGAGAATCCGCCACTAGCCCCGAGGTAATATGCATCCATGACATCAAGGAAGCAAATGGAAGTGTGACAAAATCACCAGGGTAATCTAGTTTTGAAAAGCGCTTACCAATCTCGTCGCAGTGGAGAACAACATCTAAGTTGATCACGTCAAAGTGGCTAAAATACCGTGTGCCACATCGAAGATAGCGAATTGTTCTTCCCAGCTCGTGACAAAAGCATTGAACTCTCCTAGATCGTATGTGCACAATCATCACCACTTTTGATAATCTAAAACGGTAATCAAATGAAAAGCCAAAATGCGAAATTTCATTTAATTGTCATCAACGATAAGGAAAATATATTGAAAAACTATTTTCGCCACTATACAAGTATTGCACCCCTCCTAGACTTCATACACCGGAATCGGTTAAAAAAGAGGTGCTCTGGGTACTTCGGCATAGTAAGTGATAACCGCAGTGAGTCAGTGGTCGGCAGAGAGATGTAAGCTGCGGTAAATCATAAACGGACTGGGCACTAGAAAGAGCTCTCGCGGAAAGAAAAACGCAGAATTATATGTATGGTCTCATACTACGTGATTAATTCGTCGGAGAATGAATTGAACATTTCTGTGCGAACGAGGCAACGAACACTCAAATACAGTCCTTTGGATAAAAAAGTACAAGAAAAATGAGAAGGAACACGTTTCTGATAACTTATGTAGAGTATGCCAAGAAGGTGAACAAAAAAGTTTGAAAGTGGCCAACGCACTCGGCAATGAAATGGTTTCGATAATCAGAGTTTAAAGGGGGAGGCTGCAATAGTTTTGTCGCGAGCCTATTTTCGCCCGGCCTACTGAACTTTTCACAATTCAAAACAAGTATTAATCCTGCCAAGTGAATAAATGATTCAACTACAGTAAAAATATACTTCTGTTCCAATTAATCGATATTCTTTCGTAGAAAACTTAAGTGCACTTCAATAGTGAGCCTTTATTCGTATTTTCACTGACATTCTTTCAAAAAATGTATCAAAACAATGTATAGTGAACTTTCTATATTTTTTGTTCATCGGTAAAATCTACAAATGTAAGGTGCAGTGACCGAATCTGAATTAGCAGATCAAGCGTTCTCTGCTTTTGATCACATTGTTGATTGTACCATAACGCCAAGGTCACACACACACACACACACACACACACAATGTTTAGTTTATCAGTGTCTCTCTGTCAAAGCCATTTATGAGAAACCTTAGGTTTAGGACGTATGCGGTAGTTTTCAGGTCAGTTCCGACCGGATTACTACAGGAGTTATTACTTTTTAATCGACAGCTGGCAAGAGGAGATAAAGGTTGGAGCATGAAGCTGCATGAAATACAGTTGCGGAAAAAATGGGACTGATTAAGGCAACAGGTTTTCAAAATGACTGATCTGAATGTCCCGGCTGTTCTCGTGTTAACATAAACGAACTCTTTGCCAGCTTGTATGAAATCAATCAAATATGGACATTTTCCATGATGGCCCTGGCGAATCGCATTACTTTTCGTATTTTATGAAACCTTTTCGAGGTTAGTTAGAAAAAGGCGAGAAACAAGGTTCACGAAATGAACCAATAAGGCCATGACTATGGCAGAGGTCATCGAAACGGCATACGAACAAACCAGAAAGGAGTCGATTGCAGAATACTGCTGTCCAAAGTTCGCAGTTTTCTAAAATGCGATTACAAATCTTTCTCGCGTACAATCCACTGATATATGGTCCGTGTTCAAGAAGACGGCTTCAGCCAACATCCTGAGGTGAATANAGGTGAATAAGTTGACGGGTGTTACGTTTTGAACCCCTGACTTCCGGTGGACTTAATCGCTTGATCACCACCGTTTACTAAATGAATTTTCTTTTTCTCCCTATCCGGAACAATACTACCCTTGAAACAATTAAGACAATGAATTGAAACAGGCTTTTTCAGTGATAAATTTGAAAGCGAAGCTAGTATAGCAACACTGCACGATTTGTCCCCTGGACGATTTCGCTGCATCTCAGCCGGCGACTAAGGCAAAAATATACAATTTATATATGTAAATGTCTTATTACTTCTTTTTTATTTATTACATATACAAATGTACAGTCAACTCTCAGGGAGGGGGCTGCCACCATACAAAGTCTGCCTGTGGAAACACAGGAAAGGAGAAGATGAGCAGCGGTGAGGTGGTTGAAACCTGGGACTTCCTGTTCACACGTTGGTGACTTAACCACTTGGGCAACACCGCTTGGGAATAGATTATAAAATAAACGAATGTAAATTGGGGAAGCGCCAATATGATGAAAAAGGGCGGTGATGGCCCGGTGGTAACGTAACCAAATTGTCACCCCAGGGATGTGTCCGAATCTCACCACCACCACCACCTGACTTTCCTCATTGTGTGTTGAATGGCAATCCTTTGATTGTTCGCTTCCCTCTTCCTGAAAATTGTATCTTTGTATATTCAATCAAAAGGAAGTAAAATGAAAAAGAAAAAAAGTCATTTTGTTGACAGAACGGTTTCCATCGGTTGATTGTAATCGCCTCGGCAAGAAATTGAGAAGATGCACGAACGCCGTAACCGTTGATGTATATTGTATAGATCAGAGTGATAACGGTTTGGATCGAACTGACAACCGTGATAAAGAAGTTTGTTCAAATTTAGGGCTTTACAGCTGAGTCAGACAAGAAAAAAAGAAGAGAATGGAGAAACGGTGGATGCAAGACGACCATTAGAGGCTTTTGATCAGAAACGGAGGTTAAATTTCACTCAAGCAGAAGAAGCGAATTGTGTGTGATATTTGAATCCGTTTATTAAATTTTTGTGGTTACCCGTTCCATTTGTCCTAGGTCGCTCCGTGAAATAACGAACTGTTCACGATGTTCCGTCAATCAGCTGGTTACATTGTAACCAACTTACTCACTACTGATTTCTTCCGGTCCGTACTTTTCCGTCAAATAGAAACCATCAGTTGATGACAAATGTGTCCACAGCTGACTGTCAACAAATTTGCTCAGCTGACGAGAATAACCGACAGCATCAGCAGTACGGACCACGTGACACACGAGTGGTACATCCGTGCAAATAAAGAGACACCTTATTTGTATCAATTGTATGATTATTTTCACTGTTCCCTTTGGTCTCACTCAAAGAGCGGATCGCGGTTGAGTCCCTCCCGAAAGAGAAGTAACCAGGATTGTTCGGCTTCATTCACATATGGTTATGACACACTCGTGCGGTACGCATAGCACGGAACATCACAATGGACTACGTACTTTGTGTTTGATCACACCGCGCAATCGCTGGTACATACTCGAATCGGAACGAATAGCACAGTTGCATTTACCTGCTTCATGTCTCAAACTTCCAAAAACTGTTCAACTTGTGAATGACAGAACACCGGAATTGTACGACCCCAGTCAGGAACGAATACACTACTATCAGTTCCCATGGGTCGATTGCGCTGTCGAGACGAAGTCCACAGACAATCGCCTTGCCCCATTCGTGAGCAACGAACCCGGGAGAGAGAAGACGAAGAAAACTCACTGGGGTGTTGGGGCCATTGAAGCGGTCGATGTACGTCGATGGTGTAAATTTCCCGGTCCAAAGGTGAGTGAACTTCGGGCGGCCAAGAAACAAGATGAGGAGCGTTTACGAAAAGTATCGGTACTAAAAATGCGTTCAACCAAAACGAGATAATTACTTTCTGTTCGTACGAAGATCCGATATCACATAAAAGAGCATTTTCTTTACTCGCATGTTTGTTTCATGATATAGTTGTAGCTTCTCATTCACCTAAAATGATATCCTTTTTTTCTTTTCAACATGGATTTATTTGGATGCCCAATATATATTTGGATCCACGCTAACTCATTCGTTTAAACAGACCGCATAAAAGAGCTATTGGAATTCCGTTAGTCTTCATTAACATTGCTGTGTGCAGGTGCAGCTGAGGGGCATCATCGTTACATTCCAGTTTGTGACAGACACTAATGGGTGGGATTACAAAACCTGCTCCTTTTCTGATCATCCATGGGAATCAGGGGTCTTAGAACTGGGATATGGATGTGAGGCAATAGGATAGGCTCGGTTTTGAACCCAATGACGACAAATATGTTCAACACTATACAAGAAGTAGGTAAAAATGGACAAGGTGGATACGGGTGAACTGATGCTGAGGAAACTGAAACACCATGCTCAACAAGCTCCAACCGTGCACACAAATCTAGCTGAGAGTACAGTGCGATTGCTCTACGTTTACCATCGTCCCTTCGCTCTCACCTGTGACCTTAAAGAAGTAGATTTACTCTGACCCTTTTTGTGATCTGAATGGATCATATTTCGCGATCTGCGGCGCTTAAAATCTCTCACCCCAACACGAGACTGTCTGATTACCGGCTTATAAGTTTTGTAATACTGTTGTTCTTACGTCCAGTTCATCCGTGTGCTGATGGCACTCCTGTGGCTAGTTTGTTAAGAATTGACCTCAAGAAGGCCATCACTGTTGCCTCACCGTCATGCTGTTCAGTGTTTCCAATCTACGAACAGAAGTAATATGGGGATACACTTAATCTACGTGAAAACTTCTTAATGCACCGTGAGCACATCACCCGCTGACGTTTATGCAGTTTTCTCCGACCTAGAGCGCAAACTGCAAATACACCCTTTTTCTTAGATGTCGTACCAAGTAATTTGAAAGCAGTATGATCTACCGCGATGAAAGAATAAAAACGCAACGAATTTATTCGGGCTTTTTGAAAGCATCGTCAGATAATTTCATCATTGGTTCCATTTTATAAGCTTCATTACCTTGCGTTTATCACATGATACTTATATCATGTAGTCGTAGTCCAGCGCGCACAAACCGAAAAGCTTCTCACATTACAGAAAAAGAAATAAAAGTATGTTCGACATCGACCACTCTCGCTCTCCACTACATTTTTTTTTTTCATTTCACTCGGGATAAAAATGCTGGTCTAGCGTAATAGTAACACAGAACCATCAGGGAATTATGAAGTCGTTTTTAACGACACTTAGTGTCTTTGTTATTCTGAAAAGTTCGCATTCCAAGATTCATTAGCCTTTCGTCCTCCGATTCACCCAGAATTGTCTCAAACTATCTGTTCAGAAGTTATAATATATCCTCCAGCGAATCGGGACAAATGAATTTTTTACGCATTTTCCATTTGGTTAGCCGAAGTTAGTATGCAAGACAATGAGCGATTTCCACATTCTCAATATTAGATTACCCATATAATTTGCCTAGATCCAGTATTTCTGAGAAACATCTCGATTACAAACTAACCAATACCTGATTAATTTTTGATTGTGAAACCGTAAGATTGCAGTGAGTCAAGTAGATTTTCTTATACATTCATTATGAAAGCCTGACCCAATGGTAACGGGGAATTAGTTGTCAAGCCGCCAAGGTCCCGGAGGACGTGCGTTAGAATCTCACCACTACCAATCACTTTCCACCTCTATGCATGTGCCCAAGCAAACACCTTAATGGTAGCAACCGCTCCACTTCCTGAAAGGTGTACGTTTGTGCTTCGGTTTCACACCATCCTCATTTCTAACTGAAGCAGAGTAATTTTTTGGGGTAGGGAATACGGCCAACCTAAATGTTATAACTCCCATCGTTCAATTTTACGAAAAAGGACCAAACATGCTAAATACTGCTGCGAATAATATATCGTGACAACACATCGAGGCCCAGTTCTCATAAAGCATGCTGGTGTGGAATAGAGTTTTCATTCAGCCGAGAAACTTTTGGACAGAACCTATACGGGTTTTGAAACAACCCCATTCGTTGAAATTGAGCCCCCATCTTAGCATGCTAATCACAGATTTTGTAATTCTGAAAGGGAGTGGGTGGGAACATTAGATCTAAGGAGTGCCAGATTCCCGATCAAGACCTGATGTCGTGTGATGTACCTGGTGATCATAGCGGGAGAAGTGAATCAGAACGGGGCGCAACCCGTTCCGCAGAAAACTTCCAGAGAAAGATAAACGGAGGTCGATACTTTTAGCCTCCGACTCCACGAGTTATAACTCTCCTTGGATGAATGTTCTATGGTGACTAGTTCAACTAACCCTGAACGAAGTAATGTAGATTAGGTACAAGAAAATGGAGACATCAATAACACCCATAGTCCATTAGAGGTCCAGTTCTTTCAGACTGGAACTTATGCCAAATGGGCGTAAAAAAGGAAATGTTTGTACGTCAGTGGTGAAGAGAACTTCTATTTGAACCAACTGGATGTGTGGGCGTGAAATAACCGCAGCAAAATTTGCTTTCTCCGAACCGACAGTTTCGCCCAATTTAACCGTATCCCTTTTTGCTTAGTACAGAAATATTTTTATGCGTGGAGCTACGCCAAGTTCGATGAACAACGTTAAGTTGTTTATCATAATTTCATGTAGTTGAAATATTAACATGGAGTTATAACACGGTTTGCGACGCTTTTAAATATCCGAGTTTATATATATCCAAAATTTTCCATTTCATCCATTATTTGGAAAGAGCAGTCATACCTAATTGTGTTGAATTGAAGTGGCCACTCAAGTTCGACATACCCTTACAAGTGTAACTGGGGTGTAAATTCGCATAATATCAGGTTTATTACTTCAACACCGATTGTGTTGTGTAAAAACTCAACTTCTCCGCGTTACAGAACTGAAACAGCAACCGATTCCATTGTTTACTGGCTGAGATAGCAACCTGCATAAGGTTGCGAATGAATTTAAGGCTGACCTAATACTGGAATTATTCTGCAGTGATCAAGTGTTTCCTGATTCTCGCGGCGAGTGTCCAAAGATTTCGCGGCGAGATGGCAGCTCTACACCATACTTACTTGCTTAGTTGAAACTGCAATAGTATTGTATTTGACCTCCCTAAGAAAGCATCTCTATCTCGTAAGGTTTGAGAAAAAACCGTTAGAGAGTGAAAGCAGATCAATCAGTACGACGGGATGTGGAAGACAAGCAAACCGAAAATAGTATACAAGTAGGTAATCGGTCGGCGTGTTGCGCATAAAAATACAAGCTCTGGATGTAACTGTGCTTGGTAATCGGAGGAGTGAGACCAGGTAATTCTTGTCGGGGGAGGAGGGAGAAGGCGCAAAAAAAAACGTACAAAGGTAACAGAGATAATGGGCTATTGAGGTTCGAGTAGAGAAACGCACGTTTCGGGAAGCAGTGGACCACATTGCAACTAAAGAATACAACACATTCACCCAGTAAGGCATGTGACAAAAAAGACGGTGGACTGAGTACATGGGATGTAATATTGATGACGATGAGAGTTGGTAGATCCGGGGAGTTGCTTTAAGCGGGATAGTCTAGCATTAAGACACCGGTAGGGAGGAAGTGTGAGCACCGAGTGTTAAATTAAAGACATACAAGCAGAGGGACAGAGAGAGAAAATTGAAAATAGATTCCACAGTGACTGATAACAAAGTCGGCCAGAAGTAATGGGCAAACACAAAACCGCGGAGAACATCACAATTTAACGGAGCATGGACAGAATAATGTGAAAGATGGTGCACAATCTGTATGATGCAGACAATTAGAGAGACCGGGTGGTTGTAAGGAAATAAATATAAACAGAATGAAAGCAAGCGGGTAGAGGCATCCACCAATCAGCAGCGTGGATTACGCACGTGAGGTTCGGCGTGCCTCGACACTAAGCACTGCGATTGAGTTGTCCTTGGCACCAAAGGCGACCAGAGGCTATAAAAAAAAAGCGAGGGAAGAAACATACACACAGGGAGTAGGATCAAAATCTGACAAAATAATCACAGAAAACAATTCAATATCAGATGAAAATATAAAAAGAACACGGAAATAAATTGCAAACACATTGTTCATCA